AGTAAAAGAGCATTGACATTGGCATTGGGATGGGAACTGCCCAAAACACAAAAACACACAGGCAGCCTCTCTCCCTTTCACTCCCCTCCCCTCGCTGTACTTCATCTCTCTCTCTCTCTCTCTCTCTCTCTCTCTCTCTCTCTCTCTCTCTCTCACACACACACACACACACACCCCTTTCAGAAGAGAGCTCTGTAAAACTCCCCACATATGGCAAACATATTTTAGGGGCAGCACCATGACTAGAGGCCACTGAGAGAGAAAGAAAAAGAAAATAATGAGAAAAATCTTCAATAAGTCTAAATTGTTCCAGTCAGACTGCTGAGAAAGAATGCAAAGGCTTGAAGATGAAAATTATTGGTAAAATCAGCATTATAACATAGCTAAATTCTTTTCTTGCTTCAAATGATGGCTAGAACATATCCTGATGTACAACCACACCGTCTGGGGAACTATCTTTAGATGAAGCTGTTCGCTTAGCACCAACATGTACACAAAAGAACACCTTACAACATATAATGTTTTCCTGAGGCTTACAATTACAAAAATTTTAAACTTTGCTTGTAAATAATTGTGTGGGGCGTGGGGGGATGCAGTGATAAGTCATTTTAGCTGGCATGGCTGTCAACACTTTGTTTTCTAAATTCCTATCCTCTTGGTTACATATTTAATGAGCAATTAAAAGCTTTAATGCACTAGAAAACTCCCAATATAAAGGAACTAACAAAAAAACCTTGTTAAAATGTAGACAAATGATCCCTCAGTGACTTGTTTTATAAGCTAAGGACTGATCTATGAAATGTTCTCAAAAGAAAACTTGAAAAAAGTTTTTATTTCGACTTCAGCTGTCGAGATCTTGGTAAAACTTGACCATATCATCTGGACAGAAAGTAAAGTGACAGTAAAAAGGGCACATAGCTGAGTGATGGGTGGCTGTTCTCAGGGGCCTCGTTCTTAAAGGAATTTTTAGTTAAACAGGGTAGGAGGCCTGAGAGAGAAAAAACTAGTCCTGACTTTGTCACCTACAAGTGATTCAGGCAGCTAATCAAGAAGATACATTTGTTGAGCATTCCCGAAGTATCAGGGACCTCTGAGAGATGGTTCTCCACATTTTCTAATTTACTTAATCCGCTCAGGCTTGGTTGACTTCGTTGGGAAAGAGTGGTGAAGCCCAGCTTGTGTGCTTCTGTGTCAGTTTCACGACCTCTTTTACCTGCTAAATCTCAGACATTTAAAAATATTCGTTCTCTCATAAATAAGGCCTCTAATATTTTTCCCTAATCAAAAATCACTATGATGATTTTCTTTTCAGTCTCCTTCTATTGGAGACACCCTGGGGTGAGAACAACAGCTGTCAGTTGTGGATCTCTGTATCAGGAAACCAAATAAGCAGCCAGATGCTTCCTTCATCTCCCCAAACACTGTGAATATGGGACCAGGTGCTTAAAATAGGATGTTTCTGGAAGATTTGCTTCACTTGGGAATGGTTCTAAGAAACAAAAGTCAGTGCACACCTTCACAGTTTCAAGATAATGCCTGAAGAATGACTTTCAATCACTCTCCATGAATAACCTGAGGCTGGATGCTATTATGAAGGAACTAAAGTTGAGGGCTCCCTCCCAGGCACACTCCCCCCCCTTGGGCACTGGGCAGCACAATTCCTAGTCAGATGACTGAAAACAGTGATGAACCCTTATGTGCTTAGTGGTCTACAGCCACCAAGCAGCTCACACTGATGAGTGCCAAGAGAAACCACTACAAATTTCAGGTTTATTTTCATGTTCAAAAGGACACATTTCACTGCAAAAGAATTCCACCCCAACAACCTATCTCAGACAGGAAATAAAGTGAGGGCATAAAAGTAAAAAAAAAAAAAAATACTAATTTTATGGGAAATAAAATTGAATTTAATCAACAAATCAAAAGGCATAAATCAAAGAGACTAAGAGAACCCTTGTAATGTGTAGACTTTGGCTGGATCTTGATTCAAACAAGTCAACTCTAAAAGACATTTTTGGGAGAACAAGCATAATTTGAATATGAACTGGGGATACTGGATGGTAATATAGAATTATCGTTAGCTTTGTTAGGTGATGACAGGACTGTGGTTATGTAAAACAAAAGTCCTTTATTTATGGAGAGGCACACTGAGCTATTTCAGGAATGAAAGGCCATGATGTGTGGTACCTGTTCTAAACTAATTCAATAAACAAAAGGTTTATGAGGCAAATCACAAAGTGATGGGGGCATGGTATATTAGTCTACCTCTTTCTCTCTAATTTTCTTTATTAAATATTTAAAGAGGAAGGGCCTCCCTGGTGGCACAAGGGGTTAAGCAAAGCACTATGAAGCTACCCACAGCCTCTGCAGCATGAGTTCGATTCCCAGCAGGGGAGCAGACCTCTCCTGTCTCACCCACAGCTCCCCTCAGCAGTGTATTTCAGTCAGTCTGCCTGGTCTATTCCCCACTCTGTATTTCCTCTCACCCCCTGCACCTCTTACAGGCATAAATAAAACCCCAGTTCTCGTATGCATAAATAAATAAATCTTTAAATAAATAAATATTTTAAAGAGGAAAGAAAACCTGATAAAATAGCCAGTACTAAGTTTGGCTGCTGGAGTCAAAAAGGGAAATAGTTCAGACTAAGTATGTTTTGAGGACAGAAGAACACCTGAGTGCTTTGTACATTATTTTTGAGGGGCACATTGTGATGAGTGCTTCCCTCAAATTTTACTCTAAACTATCAAATGACCCCAGAAGGAGCCAAGGGCAGGGCAGGGGAAAGAGAGCCTGACAGACAGTCCAGACCCAAGCAAGGGCATTACCTCCATCCCCCCACCCAGGCCAAAGGCACCCGGAACACCAAGGATCTCATTGTGCACATAAATAATTAAAGGAAAGGAGATTTTATTGTCCCTCATTTATGAGGAAGCTCTTGCCAAGTCTCCTACATTGGCATTTTGAAACACCAAGTGCCATGTGAAAGAAGGTATCTCAAAGATTGCAAATTTTAGATGTTCATAGAGGTCACTGCCAGAAATCCACTACGAGGAGGGAAAATGTATAGTACAGTCATCAGTCCTGAGTGTCTGAGCTCAGTGTCCAAGTACGGGACGTGGTTGTGAGGCTTTCAGATCACTTAAGAGAAGCAATCTGGCAAGTGTTTACTTTGTGGAGATGAGATAATTTCACCTGTAAGAAGTATGGCACTGGGTACTGGGAATACAATTTTTAGAAACGGTCTAAGAACTTTGATGGGACAAAGATGATGTCCTTGGTGCATCTGGCGACTCAAAAAGTAGTCACTTTTTGATAACTGGTATCACAGTGCCAGCGATGGGTGTGAAGACTGAATAAGCATTGCTTCGGGAAACAGCAGAGACACATCCTCTTAGACGAGAAGGGAAGAGCACTTCTGAGATAAAAGCCCCAGGAGGGTGAGCCTCTGGGATGGTTCGAGGAAGGCGAGATGTACTCCAGGGGCTGTTGGGTGAGGACGTTGCATAAAACACATCTCCAAGTATTTGAAGACCTGCCATGTGGGAGGCAGAGCTGATTTATTGTATATTTTTAGAGAGCAGAAGTTAAATGAATAGATGAAAATTATAGGGAGGCAGATGTTTGCTCAATATAAGCAAGTACTTTAGAGCAATTAAATCTGTCCAAGACTGAATTTGAAAGGTCACGTGTAAGTAAATGTTTCCTGACCAACTCTAAGGAAGGAAATTGAGGTAAATTGCCTTTATGCTCATTTTAATGATTAGATACTATTATTTTTATCAAATTATCTCCAAGCTGGCAACAAGTTTAATAAGGGCATTTATTTTTTGAAGATACTCTTCATTTATTACATATTTTTTAAACAGCTGTGCTGCATGAATTATTCTATTAAGTTCTATGGATGATAAAACATAAAAAAAATGGTCGTCTAAAGCTTATGGCTAAGGAAGGTGAGCTCCACATGTGTAATGTGCACTATACACATACATACATTAACATGGGTCACAACATGCATGAATGCCACTCTTTTACTCCTGCTCCATCACGAGGTTAAAGTAGATCTGTAATGAGGGTGTGAACCACTTGTATTTTTCATCTCTGCCAAGGAGTCTCTTAGGTATCTCTTAAGATCAGCTATCTGCTGCCCAAGAGCAAACCAGTTTATCCATAGTGAAGACAGGAGCCAAATAATTTGGCTTTGTTCTGAAGCCTTTCTTGACTTGGACTCAAAACACTGGACACTGTCTTGCAATTTCCCAGCTTGCTCTTTGAAATCTTCTCAAAAGCTATTATACCAAGAATGACCTAGGGGGAATTATCCAGCAGGCCTTCCAAATGCAATACCCAATAAAGCAACATTGGAGCGACATGAAACCCTTGGCCACTAAGTTCGATCCTTCACCAGATTCGACAACAGCATGAATTCATCAACTTGAGTGCAACCCAGTATAGAAAAAACAACTCCAGACTAAAAGTAATAATGAAGGGGCCTCCCTGGAGGTGCAAGGGGTTAAGTCTCAGTACTATGAAGCTATTGGCAGCCACTGCAGCACCAGTTCAATCCCTGGCCAGGAAGGTGACCCACATGGTGCAGCAGACCTCTCCTGTCTCCCTGGGGCTCACCTCAGCAGTGTATTTTGGTGGATCTGCCTGTTCTGCTCCCCACTCTGTCTCTGGTGAATTCTCTCACCTCCAACACCTCTGGCCTGCACCCCAGCTCTTGTATGCAAAAATAAATAAATCTTTTTAAAATACAAATTCTTGATGTATGAAGTACTACAAACTCATTAACTATAATGGAGGAACATTTAAAAATATTATTGCAACGCAATGATACTTAATGATAAGAATCCAGGGAAAACATTAAAGTGAAACAATCCCATCCGACAAAGCGTCCTTGGACAATTATTTTCAATCACACATAGGACCTATATAAACCATCAAATTCTTTCTCCATCTGAAAATAAAGGTTTTCTCGGTTCTGCTCTGGGAAGCTGACCTGAGACTGCTGGAAAAGGATGCTCTTCTCCGGGTTGATGCCACAGGCGAGGAGGGCCGCGGTCACATCCAGGATGCTCTGGCGCAGGAGGGCGGGGTCCTGGGGGACAGTGATGGAGTGTAAGTCGACGATGCTGTACAGCACAGAGCTGTGCTCCTCCTGTAACCTCACCCAGCTCTCGATGGCGCCCAGGTAGTTGCCCAGGTGGGGGATTCCCGTGGGCTGAATGCCAGAGAACACCCGCTTCGCAGCATCTTTCTGAAATAAAGGAAAACAAGATCTATGAATCCTATGTCCACATTACCATTGCTATGATGACTGGTGACTTTTGTAAACTACAAACTGACAGTCCTCACCCACATGCATTTATTTGGTGCCTACTCTGTGCAATGCATTGTGATATTAAGACAGAAAATATTTAAATTACATTTTTACTCAAAAGCTTGCAAGTACAAAGGCACATAAGAAAACTGTGGCATCTTCAAGAGAATGCAATCTAGTTGGAGATGGAGGATCGTTTATGAACAGACAAGTGCCAGTGGATTGGGGCAACACGAACACCACGTGGGGGACAGGCCAGGCTCCCAGGGCAGGAGCTGATGCTGTGCTTCCAGTGCTCAGCGAGAAAGGTGCAGACACAGGACCCAATGTCACTTCAGGGGTCCCATGGATTTCTCTGTGATATCACTCATTTTGTATATAAGGCAATGACAATCATAGCTTTTGGGCAAAACACCACTGCTATTGACTTAATCCACATTTTATTAAAAATAATTGTTGTTTCTATAATTGAGTGTGTAGCATCTTGGGCTAGAAACTAGGAAACAGATAGTCTGATAGTAACACTTGATAGCAATTTAGTTCATACTTGTTTTTATATTTCTTCAAGAGGAGCTTTCAATTTTGCATAGTTTCTTTAAATTATAAAAATATTTTTGTCATGATTATGTTTTCCCACTGGTTTGCACTTTCTAATATTGAAGTTATATAGGAAATGAGAAAGACTGTAAAACAAGGTGAAAAAATACTGTTTTTCCATTGAATGATTTTTGCAGCTCATAGTGAAAAAGCCAAAACTGAATATATTTATAAATAGTTTTGGTTTTGTATATAAAACGAAAGTGAATTTATCATTAAATGAGCTGTAATAAAAGGTTCTGAAAGAATAAAATGCATCATTATAATTTTTACAATGATAATAAAAATATTAATAATAGCAAGCAAAACTTACTGGACAATGGATATGTTGGAGGCATTTATGCTCAGTGCTTTATAGACATTAATGTATTTAATCTTTACAATACCCATGATAGTAGCCATATTATTACCTCCCAATTTACAGATGAGTAAACTGAGGCTCACATACAGTAAACTGAGGCTCACATAGATGGCCCAAGGCCAATACTAAGTGGTAGAAATGGGATTTCCAACCAGGTAGCTCTGACTTCAAAGTCCACGTAGTGCTCCTTTCACAAGCTCCCAGGCTTAGTCTGTAGCTATGATATACGAAGACTTTATTCTATTCATTGTATTCGTTTTGCAACTTTCCTGGAGGTTTGAAAACTTGCAAAAAAAAAAAAGGTATAGAAAACTAAGAACATTCTGACACACATATGTTTGTGTATAATGAGCCAAGCCCGTCTAGTGTGTTCACCTAGGAGCAGAATCGCTGAGTCATAACATGCGTAGGTGTCTTTGTCTGCTCTTCAGCCTGGAATAATCTGCAGTTTCTGCCAGCAGTTCCTATAGCCCTACATCCTCTCCAGCACTTCACCAGCGGATTTATTTTTAGCTAATCGGGTGGATGATGCAGACAGATTGACAGAGAAGTTCAGAATTCATGGTTATTTGCTGTTTTTGTTTCCTCTTGTGTGGTTGTTCAAGTTATTTTGCATCTTTTTCTCAGATTGGATTGCCTTTTCACTGACTTAAGAATATTTACACACGCTGGATATGAATACGTCCATTACATGTGTGGCTAATATAGTCTCTCATTGTATGGGTATTAGTGTTCTTCATGTAATCTTTTGATGAAGAGATGTTCTGAATTTAACCAAATATGTCATTTTTTACTATGGGCTTTTATGCCATAGAAGAAATCTTTCAATGCCCTGAGGCCATGAAGATATGAGTGAGTGCTTATGTACATACAAAGCACATGTGTGTACACACTTTACATTTTATCTTTCACATTTAAGTCTGTATCCATTTGGAGTTTTGTCCCTAAGGTGTGAGGTAGACAGTCACTGCCCCCCAATACACAGATACCAAACTGTCCCAGCCCCAAGTACCTTTGATCTCTCCATTCTGCCCCGTTGATTCCCTGATCTATTTGTCTATTGCTGCAGCCGAACAACAACTGCCTTTTTAACAAGTCTTGGGATCTGGCGTAGCAAGTCTTTCTACCTCTAAGAGTATCTTACTCCTTCCTTGCCTTTTACAATCCTCAATACATTTTAGAATCAGGGCCTCCCTGGTGGCACAAGGGGTTAGGAGTCAGCGCTATGAAGCAATCTGCAGCCACTGCAGCACAAGTTCGATCCCTGGCCAAGGAGGTGACCCACACGACCCAGCAGACCTCTCCTGCCTCACCTGCTGCTCCCCTCAGCAATGTATTTCAGTCAGTCTGCTTCTTCTGCTCCCCACTGTGTTTCTGGTGAATCCTTTCACCCCCACACCTCTGGCCTGCAACCCAGCTCTTGTATGCATAAATAAATAAATCTTTAAAAAATCAGAATCATTTTGTAAAGGTCCCAAATCCTGTTGGGGTTTTGGATTATATTGATTGCTATAGATTGCTAGGGGAGACTGACATCTCAACAACATGGTATCCTCTAATCCAGGAAACCATTTAACACATGAGGCTCTAGTTCATGTAAAATATGTTGACTAAAGTTGATAAGACTGTATTGTATAGTTTCTGTTTGCTAAAAGATAAATCTGTGAGGTAATGATGTGTTGGGGAGATGCTTTCGCAATGCACATCATATTACCATGATGTATACTTTAAGATTGCATCACTTTATCGTTGCTTATACCTCAATAAAGCTGAGATTAAAAAAGGAAAACGATGTTAAAAACAAATCTTTATCAATATATCTAACACTAACTCCTACGGGTGAATTTACTTTAGTTATGTTAGTGACAAGGCTACTCAGCTTTTATCCTTGCCTTTCCCCAAGAATTCCAAATCCTATAAATCAAGTCTGTTTTCCCTGTCTCCGCTTATCCTGAATCGATAGCCCTAAAATTGAATGCTACATCACAGCACCACCGTCCAGGATGGTGCTTGATCCAAACACTCAGGAGACCTAAAAGAATTGAGATTCTGACAATATGAAAAATATCCTCTAAAAGATCAAATACAATGCTGAGAACAAATATAATCTTATCGACTACCCTTTTACCCCAGTAAACCCTCAAATGAGTAACTCCCCGAGTCATACTGTAGAAAGTTCTGGAGGAGAGAGAGAGACAGAGAGACAGGGAGAGAAAGAAAGAGGGACAGAAAAGAATAAATATTTTTTAAAGATTTTATTTATTTATGCAAACAAGAACTGGGGTGCAGGGCAAAAGTAGAGAGACAGAGAGAGAAAGAAAGAGGGAGAGAATCGAGTAAGTAAAAGGCGAAAGATTTATACGATCTGAAGAGAAACCAGAGTATTTTGCAGCAACATGGATGGCGCTGGAAGGGATCATGCTCAGCGAAATAAGCCAGAAAGAAAAAGAAAAATACCGGATGGTCTCACTCATAGCAGGGATCTAGAAAACTTAAATAAGGGACCAGGAAAATGAATAACTATAAGAAAGTGAAAATCAAAATCAACAAAAAACTATGAACCAGAGACACTCTATGGGGGGAGGGGGGCGGGGAGGGGAGGGATTGGGGTCAAAATAAGGGGGTTGCAATTGTATAGGGAATATAAAAATAAAATTTATTTAAAAAATAAATAAAATATACTTCAGCATCAAAAAATATATATATATAAAAAAGAATAGAGTCAGTATTTATCAGTGAGGCTTCCTGAGCCTCACGGGATTGTAACCAGCGCTCTGGGTTTCTGATATGGGAACCAGCCCAGGAGCTCTCGGTGAGGTGAAAAATGATTAATGTGCTTTAGGGACTGACTGACCAAGAGAGAAAGCAAAGCAGAAAAAACAGCTCTGAACTTAGTAACTGGAAGAGCAAAAACAAAAACAAAAACACCACCACCGAGAAATCCTTGACCTGGGCTGGAGAGGGGCCGTTGATGTCATAGAAAGGACTATGAAGACGAGGAATATCAAGCTTGGAAAAAAAAAAAAAGATTTTGAATATTTCCACATAAATTCCTCCCTGGTCAAACTACCGGATCATTCCCCAGGAGAACCGGAGAGACTAATTCTTGAGAAAACTGGAAGAGAAATGCACTGGAGGACAGACTGTGGGAAAAAAGAGCAGTGGGAAGGGAGCAGACATGACCTAATACCTCTTTTCCATCCGTTTCTGTGCTTCTATACATCCATGCAGAGGGGATGATGTTATCAAGAAATAAGAGCAACAAGAAATGTTTTGTTCAATTTTCAAAAAGCTATTAAAAATAATATAGCGTCTAAATGAGAACTGGATTCCTGGTCTTAAAAATATACAGAGAGCCTCCTGCTCTTCGCTGGGAGTTTATGTTCCTGTCTGTCCCCCTGTGAGAGCAGCAGGCAGCCGGGCGGCGAGGCAGGGGAGACACGCCTGGTACCATGAAATCATGGGGCTGGAATGTGGCGTTTGGGTGGTGGGAGGTTGGGGGGTTCTGTGTTCAAAAGCACTGGCGCTGGACAAGAATGGAAATGAAAGGGGCCTGGACCTCCCAGTGGACAGGAGGCAAACCACAAAGAAAACAGCTTCAAGACGCGCCCACAGCTTCACCCACGGGAGTCTCCGCGTCCAGCCACGATTCCACCCAAGTGCAGAGATAAGAAAGGAGCATTTTACAAATATTTCTCGCTTTTTATTTCAGGTGTGTTTTCTTAAAACAAGGGGCACTTCTAATCGATACACTCATGGGCTCATTTTTTAAATGGAATCGGTCTTACTAATGGGCAGCTTCGGCCCTGGGATTTGATATATTCCAGAAGAGAGGGTAGATGTTTGAATGCCAGGGGAACAGTCCATCTGAGAGATGTAACTAAGACAGTTCTTGTCCTGAGGATCTGAGCACATACAAAATTCATCAACACCTTTAATTATTACACATGAAAGCAATTAAAAAATCCCAAGTTGCTGC